TCTTTCCCTCACTGATAACTAAAGCACAAGGTGAGAATTCCTCAGACTCCAGATTATATGTAATCAGGTTCTAGAAGTAGATGAGCAAACAATTTCTTCCTTAAAAAAAGTAACTAACAAGAAGCTTTGAGCAATTCACACATCTCTTTTTCCCAAAAACTGCAACGAAAGAAAGGCTGGATAGTCATTGTCAAAAGGCAGTACAGTACCAGGCAGATCCCTTCCCTATCTTACCTAGTAAATATACACATTTAAAAAACAAAGGTACTGGGAACTGTGAATCAGATTATACAAGACCCTTTCAAAAGTTTACTGTGCTTCCCAAATTAGTATCATTCCCTTGTTTTATGGACATTTGAAACTGCAATCCTTCCTAACCCTCCACTCCAAACCCTGCAAAGATCACACAAAGGAACTCAGGTTTCTATGATTCTATGCAAGATGTGCAAGGCACTGCACAATCTCCAAATCAAACACTGTATGAACATTGGACACAACACCAGAGGCACCAAAATGCATATTTGACCAAATTCGCAGAATGTGAAAACAACATGAAGCATCATAAACACAAATTAGAGACAAACAATCATTAAGGACACCAAAAAACTTCTTGAACACGGCCTTAAAAAAACCCACAAAATAAATAATTTCAATATCTAAATATCAAGGGATTAAAAGGCATTTTGCCACATGTAAGGGAAGGCATCACAGGTGAGGAAAATAACTGTTAACACAAGGGATCACAAATCAAAAAGCAGCTTTTTCACATAGGAGATAGTAGTATCATTGGATAGCATTTGAATATGTTCATTTCCTGAAAGCTCAAATATCACCACTTCCTGTTTTTGCTTGTCCACCCACTTCTGACATTGCAAGGCACTCTGCAAGTTTACTGTACCGTCCCCATCGCTGTAAAGAATCTTCGGTTCTCTGTCAGGAAAACTTTCATAATGGAAGGAATCAGGTGTTTCCACTCCAGTGCCATAAAGACAGTGTATGCGCACACCAGGTGGTGCCATCTGGTAGACGAGGTGCTCAGTGTCTTGCCTCATGAGCCAGCCATCCTCAAAATTGATGTCCCTGTAGAATTTTCGGTAATCACGAAGAGTATAGTTAGCTGTGGGGGTGCTCACAAAGATCTTATCTGGAGGCCACGTGTAGTTGTAGGGGAGCATCCAATTTGTGGAAACTGCTGATCTCTGCTGGTCTCTAATCTTGAGTGAGCTGATCACAGGTATTCTGTTGTTGTCACCTTATAAAAAAAAGTGGAATTTAATTACACACAAAGCAATGCCTGAACATCAGCTAGCAGCAATTGTCATCACTCACAGTGCTAGCTTGAAAAAGATTATTCTCTTTGCTTACAGTGACAATTTGAGAAGTTCTTCCTCATTTATGATTGTTCTGATAATTAAGTTCCAAAAACTAACTTTCAATAACTTAAGATTTAAATGCAAGCTAATGACTAAATGACTAACAAACCAAGAACACTGCTGCCTTTCCAAGATAATCTTTTTTGTAGGAAATATTTTCTCTCTTATTAGCCAAGTAAGAAATCAGCTTTTATTAGGCATTTATATCATCTGCAAGCTGTCTTAGATTCCCTTCTGGAAATGTGTTTTACACTAATTTTGGTACCTGGATCATGTGTTTGCTGAAGGAATAAATACTACTATCCACATGCATAAGAACTCATGAAGAGACTTTATAGGCTTAAAATGTTAAACTTGTGCATATTCAAAGCAAGCAGAGTAGCAGTATTTCATTCAGGATAGCTATAGAAATTACTCTATTTACCATTTGGCATGGTGTTTTACCAGTTTACACACTCCCTTCAGAATGAAACCTACCCAAACATGTCTTGCAATTGAAAGAAAGTGGCAGACTCTTAATTACCTCAAAAGATAATTTGTTATAAAAGGAAACAGAAGAAACTATTACTGTCTTTGCTTATGCTATCAAGTAAGAAGGCTGCACTCAATGACCAGTTCAGTTTCCACATGTAGAGAATTCTGTACTTTGGCAAAAGAAGAGTTAGAGCTTGTTAGCTTCTTGTGGGAACCATGGGAAATCACCAACATCAGCAGCTTCCTTTCCAGTTAGCAAGTCAAGACTACTCAAATACTTGCATTGCTCAGAACACAGGTTCTCTAATGTAGCACTAATATTTTCTAGCAGCTCTGGTGACCTAAACTGTATCTTTGCCAGGGTGGGGGACAGACAAAGCCAAAAATTGTTGAAAGACCAATTAATAGCTACTATGGCTTAGGGAAGTGTTTTCAGCCAGCCAAGCTTTTACAAGCCATTATATTTTCTTAATATAACAGAACTCTAGAAAGCTAGAAATTATCCAATACCCAAAAAAACACTAACTTGTTACATTTTATCAAATTTAGGCTTATTCTTATTACAGAACTAGTGTTTGACCAAAACACTTAATTGTTTAGACATCAAGTCCATTGTTTTCTTAGCAGTTTGTTCCAAAGATGGCTTGACCTACCACATGACTAAATTAAAATTTATACACATTTTTCTTTGTATTTTAACCATTGTTCACACATCTTCACAAAATTAAAAGCTGCTTAGTAAATAACAGATAAAATTATTACTAGAACCACTCTTTTAAAACCCTGAGACAGATGAGAGTTTATTTTCACAGTGACTGATCAAATCTATTTTCTACTACCACAGTGGCTGGCACACCTCAATTCTTTTGTCACCTGAACCTTGAATCAGATTTTCTATTATTAGTTCTAGGTGACTACAGCATGTAGTATTGCAGGTCAATCACACCACAAAAATTGATATACTGAAACCAAAACAACTATTCCTGAAATAGCACCAAAATATATTTTTCCATTCCATAAGGTGGCACTATTGCTTCAGCAAGGAGACCTAAATAGGATTAGAGGGAGACACTGCTAGTATATCATTGAATCAAATAAAAAGTAACTCAAAAGAATCACAAGTCCTAAAAAATGTGTTTCATGTTACTGTGTGGTGTCAATACTTTACTGTTCAAAGTCTCCACTAAGCTACTGAATACTACTTGGCAGTTTTGAGCAAAGAAACCTCAAGTTCTGAGTTGAACAATGAAAGGAATGTGTACAAGATTTACTTCCAGTAGAATAATCAAACACAGAACCTAGCTATTTCAGCCTTCTCCTACAGAACTGTTACAAAATGCTTATCAGACCCTTTACTTCTCTCCCAATGGCACAAATACTGTGTGGCCAAGACCATGCTTAGGTCAGCAAGCACAATACTCATTTACATTAGTGTTCAAAATATTAGGTCTAAGGAAGACACTGCTGGCATCTCAAGCTGACAAAAAATCACCACCACAGTGAATTTTGTGTCTTTGCTTCCTGTAGTGGGAAAAACATGCTAATTTTATTGACACTGGAAATACAATGATACATATGTTAATCCTGCAAAGCACGTAAGTAGCAGAAAGTATCACAGAAAATCTACAGGAAATAACTCTACCTCTGTACTGTTTTACCAGTTTGGTAACACAACTGGGAATCTGACATGAAGTTCCTAGTCATATTATAAACAGGAATAGAAGCAGAAACAATGCATTCCTAGCTTGCCTTGCCCTTCCTGCAGCAATGCAGTATTTTTCTTTAAAGCAACTACTCTTGTGCATACTAACACCTTGATAATATCAATTTTAGAAATTTTAATAGACTACTGGAATTCAAGTGTTAATGCCTGATGGTGGTGACATATTTGAGACAGAACTAGCATAAAAATGTTCATTCTGATATTATGTTCTGCCCATTTAATTTTACTGCACAACTTAAGATTTCTGCTCTAGCACACAGAATTTTGTAGAACAGGTGTACAGATTAAATGCTAACTATACTTTGTAGAAATTTAACTAGTCATTATTCATTTGCATAGCTAGCCACTTGGGATGAGATGCATCCAAAAGGATAAAAATATGAAGCAGAAAAGTTTAATCAAAGAGAAATCTAGGACTGTGAAGTTTCATATAATTATGTGGAATTTTATGAAGGTGATATTAACACTGCTCACCTCCTGCCATTTCAGTAGCATGCAAATTTGTCAGAAAAAAGCCTGTGGGAAATGTAAAATCAATTTTTACAGTGCCATTGCAATGGATTTAATAATACATTACTCAATACAAACGTCCAATTTAAGTTTTCTAATTAGTAACTGAGCTGTGCAGAATCAGATGTCTTTGCTAAGCAAAGCATTCTTTGATTAGTCCATGCACAGCTGGCACTTGCTGTGTTCTGCGTTTTGATGAAGTCAAATTTCTGATGTCAGCTTTGTTTAGGAAGAAAATAGTGATATCCAAAGTTAGTAAGTCAGAAACAAGTTTAAAAACCCAACCCAGAAACATAATGAACTAAATCCGAAAGGACATTAAATTACGGTATCACACAGGTGGGGTAAGTGAACTTTTTCCATGAGTCACACATTATGCTTCTGATTTATTTATTTTTTAGTCTCAGACATATTCAGTATGCCAAACCCTAGATCTCAAAAAAGGCACTTTTCTGTAGTGTTATCACTTTCAACAGGCATTTGTACTGTGGGCACTACTTCACCACCATGTCTATAAGTTTCCCTTAATGTTAACCACAAGCAGCTGTGTGATCTTTAATCAAAGGAAACAACTGGATGCTCTGGAGTCCTTGTGAGGTTCACAGTACTGCACAGAGCACAATCAGGCTGGAGGTAGAAGTGACAGAAAGAAGAGACCAGGCCAAACAGCAGATGACACAACAATCTGCTGGAAAGAGGTTAAGAGAGGTCAGGAGGGGAAACAGGTCCTGGTTAAGGGATATAAAAAAGCTTCACCCACTCCCATGAACATAAAGAATGACAGTCTGGTCACAAGGTTTGAAACATCAAGTTGCCTTCACTTTATGAAAAATTATGTTTATCTGCATAGTACCTTAAACACTCTCATCCTCCAGTCCTAGAGCTAGTCTAATTAGTAATTTGTTGCACTACTAACAAAATACATTGCAAACTCTCAAATTACCTACCTGAAGCCAGCACACGGAGAGTTTTAGCCACTCCTCCCCAAGGAGCACCTAATGACACAAAATCCTTTATGTACTTGTCTTTCCAATCCTGACTCTGATGGTTGAGGAAGTAGAGGGTGTACATATTGCCCATACTGTGGGCTATCAAGACGACAGGACTTCCATACTGCTCATACATTAACTCTATCATCTTGCGAAGGGCCACAAAATAGTCTCGATTCTCATCTAAAGTGAAGATGCACAGGATTGCAGTTATAACTCTTGTGAATGCTGAACTTCAACACAATTATTTAAAAGGTTACTTTTTGAAACTGTCTGTGGAATTAATTAGTAGTGCAGAGCTTAGAAATTCCAGTATTAAGAGGGGTGAGTGTTTTTGTGGGGAAACGTTTTGCTGGTGTGGGGTTCCTGTTGTGTTGTTTTTAAGCGTGCCTTAAGCAAGAAGCAGAAAAAGAAGCCACACCACAGAACATTCATCTGGGTCCAGGATACCCAAGAACTAGTCAGAATTAAGGTTTTAAGTATAATGCAGATGGGGCAGGAGAAGGGACCCAAAATATCACTGCTGGCTAGGAGACTAAAAATTCTGTTCAAGTGTTACTTACTTGGTGCCTTTCGCCAGTCATAAGGTGCTCCTCTTACATCTTCATCACGTTTGTAGCCCCAGTCTACTAAACTTTGCACCAGCATATAAAAGTAACTACCTGGAGACGAGAGAAACAGAATAGTGGTGAGATAAGTATCAAAAGCAGCCATAATATTATTATATTAATTAGTTGTTTTTATTATTAGCATTATTTCTGATACTATATGTATAAATGTTAAAATTGTAGCCTTAAGTCTCACAGTCTAGGATACTGCATATTAAACAAGTTGTGAACAAATACCATTATTGAGTTTCTTACTAGCTGGCTGACCTATCATACAAGTGTGGCAGCAAATGTGATGTACACAGAACAGACCAATTTCCCTCAGCAAATTGTGTCTTATGCTTGAACTGTAAAGACACCTCAGTTACTACATAGGGAAGCATTTGCAGACTGGCTGGATATTGAAAGGTGTTACATATTATGAACTTTGACATATGGGATGTATTACCACAATTAAATGCATCTAGTAACAGTTTGAAAAGTTAAGTGTTAGAACTTCCAACTCAATATCACAGAAATATTTAAGTTTTGAGCAGAACCTCACTTGTTAATCTTGAAAGCTTATCATATAATCCCTGAAGTGAACAGAGGCAATTTTAAATATGGCTGTGTTCTAGTTATAAGAGTGATCTAGTGAAGATCATTAAGCACATTACTGCCCTTCTGGGGACTGCTCCCTACAGAAAAGAAAAATAAAACCATGCTATGAAACATGAAGCTGAGTGCATTAGTACTTCAGTCTTAAGCCACAGGTTACAATTCCTCACAAAAGCCTATCAGATTCAGTGTTTTCTGAAAGATGACTTCTAGAAAAAACACTAGACAAAAAACACCCAAAACCACAGGAATGCAGGAATCCTTTGCAGCACAAATAGAATTATTCTGACACTGATAAAAGTTGGGGAACTACAGTGTGTGTAGTCCCCACATCTCCCAAGCCTATTAATTCCATTCTTAAGGCCAAATACCATCTTAGAACTAAGCTGAAATTAAGTGGTTTTATTTTAGTTTTGCTTGTCAAGCATCAGTTACAGAATTTTCTACTTGACATATTTTCCAAGTGTGTGTCTTCAAAGTGCCTACTTAAATTTTACCCAGAGAATTATAATCATAGTTTGGCACAATAATAAATAATCTTCTCAACCCATCAGGCCAAACAATAGGCAAACAATGCAATGCAAACACTTCCAAGCAAAGTGAGCCATGCTCTATGCTACTACAAAAAATTAAGTCTTGTTTTCCATGTCTAAACAGAACTGTAATTGAAATTACAGCAGTTGTTGTGTAAAGACACACTAGAAAAATTCTTCAAGTGACAAAGCACTTCAGACACAGCTTGTACATACCAACACTCCTTTTACTTGGATCAAGGAATTCCAAGGAAAATGTCTGCCCAAAACCTGGGACTCTGATATCCACTCCATCTGGTGGTTCTGTAACCTTACTTGTTCGATTATACACCAGCCTGGGGGTACGTATTAAAAAAAGAAAACATTAAACATGTCATATTACCACATGACAACTCTCAGCTGCATTGGGTCTTACATTGAGTGCAGTAACAAGAACTTTTAAGTGCTATTACCCAGAAGAAAAAAAACCAAACAAAACTGGCAGGCATGATAAGAGTACTCTAATGGCTAAGAGGTTACACAGTACAAACCATTTTAATTAGTTTAATGCTGTCCATGCAGAATTTGACACTTATCTTCTCTATCAAGCTGAACTTTAACTTTAGAATATAAGCTACTTTATATAGTTGTGTACCATTCTACTTTGCATCAGGCCACATAATGAAGAAAACTTGTCAAGAATGTGGTAGTAGAAGATAAAGAAACCTGTAAAATCAGGTATCAGAAAAATTCTCCTAGATAAAAATAATTCATTTCTGTTTCACTTGAACCGATACCAGCATTAGAGAGCACTTGGTATTTCTTGACTGATAACAACTGGTACCTCAGGAAACAGAGGTACTGAGTGCTTTGTAGGTACTTTACAAATCAATTTGAGCTATGGAGAATACTGAGCATTGGGTCAGGGTTTCTTTGGGGTTTTTATGATTGTTGTTGGGGATTTGTTTGTTTTTAATACTATATCCACACAATTGCCTTACATGAATGCAAGTTTTTACCCCTAGATGGAGTCTTAGAACCTGAGCTGATACTCAAATCTTGACACACCAAACAATCTCTAACCTGCTAGAGTTAATGATTTTAATGAAGCAGATTGAGTAAGGAAATAGTCTGGGAGCTGTAAATTGGGCATGTTTTAAACCAAGATAATTTTGGGAGGGACTTCCAGGCTGCCCTTGAAAGACCCCGTGTGTCTCAGCTGCCCGTGAGGCTGCTCTCAGCAATCCTCCTGCACGATGTACCTCCTTCCCTCTTACCTCATCAAAACTTAACTAACTACAGAACTGTCTGATAAATGTCCAAGCCAACACTGGGTAAATGGTAAGAGAGAAAGTGGAAGAAAGTAAGAGAAGCTCTGCTTTTTATCAGTGATGAACAGCTACCTCAGATTTAACAGAGCCACATTCTCCAATTCATCCTGTTACTTCACCTAGCAGAATGCCAAGTCATTTTTCTCATTAATCTTGAATCAGAGAAGAAAGTTGAAGGTGGCCATTCTGTACAAAGCAATCTAAGGAAAGGCAATTACTGCAAAGAGCAATATTTCTGGTCTTACCTGATATTATCAATCCAGCAGTCAATGATGACAGGCAGAAGCAACTCTAAATTCAGCCAGAGTGTAAAATAACTGTCTGTCTTCTTAGAGCAGAGATAGTGCACTACTGATGGCTTATCTAACTTGGCTTCCAACTGATTACCTAAGTCCCCTGGAACTGAAAGATATAAAAAGGAGACACTTAAAACTAAAGGGTATAACATTTTACATTATAATATACACATCTTAATACTGTAGCCCTCAGGCAGCATCACTCCGTCTAGAGATACTGTTAAGTTTTGCAAATGGATTAAAAAACATTACATAAAAACAAAGTACTGCATGCACAGTTTCAAAAGTGATTCATTAAAATAATCACTAGCTGGGGAACCACCCTGCAGAATCATTCTAGTTCATAACTTCAAAGAGCAGACTATATAGGATCAGGTCATGTTAGGCCATGGATATGGAAAGTCAGATGGTCTCTGACATTATCAAAATTATCTGTGTTTTAAAGTCAAAACTGAATCTTTCTGCAACAATTTTTTTCTTTGGTGTATTACAACTGCACATGCAAGTCTTTGTTCTCTTCAAAACAGTTGCCTGCAAATTATCAGTTTCATCTACAAAAAAACATAAAAAGTAGAAACAGCTCAGTTTGTATTTTATCTTTTCCACCTCTGACCACACTTTTGCTGCACAAGATTTAATTGGCTAGCATAATAGTCCAAACAGTTTCATATCTTTTCTATTCAGGTTTGGATGCACCAACAGTTTTGATGTGTTTATTTATATATATATATATATATAACATAAGTAATACTGGAGGGAAGGGTCTTGTATTTGTACCTTCTCTGAAGTGCACTGTTCTTAAAACATATACTAAATGCCAGTATTCCTTTGATGAAGATTTATGTACCTTTATTTATTTTCAACTCTAGATTGAGACAGGAATATTATTTCTAAATTAGAACTAAGCTTAAAAAAAAGCCATTTCAATTTTCAGCAGTAAGTTTTCAGTTCTTAAATTGGTCATGTTTAATATTTTTTTCTCAACAACCAGAAAGTCAAAAATAATTCAGTACCTGGAAAGTTCCTCTGTGTTAGAAAAATTTAAAGAGTTAGCCACTTCTTAAGGGCTCCCCTTCTTTCTGCTCCACATGTCCCTGCCTTTTTAGGCGTGCATAACTACACCCTATTTACCTGTCAATGTTTAATTTTGAAGTTATTCAAAGCAGGCCTACCCATATAGTTGCATTTCTTACCCACTTCAGCAAATTATTTAATCAAAATGGTCCAAGTTCTATGAAACTTAGTACAGAATTTTGTACTTGGCAATGGTATACAGAACAAGATCTTTCAGTGAAACTAATTTAACTGGAGAGCCAGATAAGATGTCAGCAGATGTCACTGCAGAACTGAAAAAGGACAGAATTTCAGACTAAATATAGACCTAGACAACTTTCTCTGGACAGGCTTCAACCACTGCAGGTTATGTCCCACTATAAAAGTGATACAATGGGATTTCTCTGTTAACTACCCCTACTTTCTCATTAGATTTTTAGTGGGTTTATTTCCGTAGTCTTAAGTGAAGCATTAAAAAAAAACCCAACAAAACAGTAGCTGAACACAGTTTATTTTAGGTCATATTTCAAGGACTCTGATATACTGGAAAGCATAGTAAGAGAGATTATAGTATTGCATCACACCCTAAAAAGAGTTTACTGAAGTTCAGTCTTGTAAACTCACAAAATACCTTTTAGTTAGTGCATATAGAACTATAAAGCTACAAGTTGTTCCACAGTCTCGTGCCTATGCTATATCAGTGTTCTTAATTAGAAAAGGAACAGAACGTAATTCTAGTTATATAAATCATTCATGGCAGGCCAGTTTCAGCAGCAGACCTGCCAAGAACAGAACAGGTTCATTTTGTCTTCAGTCTCAATGCAAAACAAAATAGAAGAGTGACATTCTGTTCTATCCTGGAATCTCATTTCCTTGGGTAAAAATAAAGTTATTCCAGCAGATACCTTTAAAACCATAAGGCAAACATCTGGAGTATCAGTTTTAAGAACTTGCTGAGGTTTCTAAACAGCATTCAAAGCAGCACTCCTGCTCAGAGAAGTAAGATTCACAACTGAAGAAGTCTAAGATTATAATCAAGATACAGTTATCAACAAGAGTACTGAAAGCAGAAAAGTGTACAAAGTCTCACTTGGACTTCATAATTAGGTGATCTTAGATTAACTCCAACTTTAATTTGGTTAAGGTATTTCACCCTCAACCTTCTTGAGGACAGAGCCTGTGCTTCTATGTCCAATTCAGAGCAGAAGATGAGAAGCATTACATCCTAATTTTTACCCAAGGGATGACAAAGAACAAGTTGAAAAGTGGCAATTAATTTAATTCTAAACAAAAAATAAGGGGCAAGTTCCACCTGTGCCAAGATAAGTACAGCAGCTAAAAAAGTCTCCTGTACAGGTGTGGTGCCTGATTCTTTATAAAGCAAGGATTAACAAAAATGTTTTTCAGGTTTCAATTTCCATATTAACAGTCAAACTGCTAATGAGCAATTCACAACTCATGTTTTATTTTCTGAAGTATGTTCTGCAAGCTGAAGAAGGTTCGTGATTAAGCTACAGGGAACAAAAAGCAGATTTTGATTTTTCGGATTATGGAAAAAAAACATGCAAGATCTTCACTCCTCACCCAACACAATTTAAGGGTTAATGATTTACATGTTGGCCAGAGGCCTGTTCAGTGGCTTTATGATAAGTAACAGCTGAAGAAGACCACAATGAAGATTAATTCTGTAGGATAAGGACATACCTTACTGAATTTTCTGCTATGGTGTTTGAACGCAGTAGAAAAATACATCCTCTCACCTACCAGTATCTGTCATTTCTAAACTTTTTTTACTGGAAACATAGAAAACTCTTACTTTTTAAAGCCAACAGACTGACACCATAAATGTACAAAATAACTGGCAAGTGAAGTTCCACAAAATACATCAGGACTAGTTAAAACTGGATGTCAGGAAGAGACCTCAAGTACCCCTTGCTTTCCTAATTTGCATGTTGTGCAATACATGTGTTGACTTCGGAAGTGTGATATTTGGAAAAATAACTGAGATTTCATATTCAGCAAAAAATAGTGTTTCCCTCAAATTTGATGAGGTAGCACTTCTAGCAGTTTCTTATTTTTCACAAGGATGGTGATCCCAGCAGAGCTCATTTCTAACATCAATGAGCACTTCCAGTATGGTAGTATACTTTGCTGGTTTTTTGGTCAACTGCCCTGACAAAACTAGTAGGTCTTCTGGGATGGGTTCTCATTTGATTAAAATTTACAGAAAGCACATTTTAAAATTCTATTTGATTGTTTAAAAGAATCTACAGACTTTTCCAAGTCTGGAAACTACAATAACTAGCTTTAAGATTCACTGAAGCTCCTGCCCATCACTATCGTCAAGTCTTGATGATGGATTCACAGTTCCCAGCAGAAGACAGTAAGCAAACTGTGCCCTGGAAAGTGACTTGCCTTACCACCACTCAGAAAACAGAGAACAGAGCACACAACAAAAACAACCAATAGTGATATTTTAAATTTCATTTGGAAAACAGAAAAGATAACACCTACATAAACACTGGGGGTGGAGGAAAGTGCTACTGTCTGTGGGGCAGACAATCAATTGCTACTTTTACCTGAAATGCAAATGCCTTTGGCTATGTATCAGCTATCATAGCTTTTTTACTAGTAACATTTCTGCAAATAACTCATCCTTTTGGTTCTATCAATTAGCCTTCCTTTAAAAGGAACCGAGTTCCCTGGAAAATTAATTTTAAACTCTGACCACAGTTCTCTAAGGAGAATATCTCAAAGTAGCGCAGACTCAACAACAGACTGTGACAGAAAAGGCTCATGTTTAAAATTAGGAACAAGAAAGCAAACAACATCTCACATGATACTCCCAGATACCTCAGATCACATGAGGCATAAACATTTAAATCACTCCTGACATCCAGCCAGCTGACCATACAAATACATACACGACAATTAGCAGTCAGCAGGAATTCACAGACAAACCTCTTTTGCATGCAAATCAATTATTAACAAAATTCATTTAGGTGTCTTTCTAGAAAACTTTAGCCAGGTACCTAACAATTGTTTGCAGAAGGTATCAGAACATTGATATAGTAATTGTGTTGAGTCAGCTCTAAAAGGTAGAGCTCAGTGAATTTGCTGCTGATCTTATAAAGACAGGTTATCAGCTCCCAAAACTGATAACATGTGAGATAGTACATAGTGATTATCCATGGGACTATATGAGAAAATGAAGGAGGAAGAATAGCCACAAAAATAAAGGAGCTTCCTGGTGTATTAGAAGACAAGCATGTTGAATATATAACCAAACTGATAAGAGAATTGCAAAAATATTACAACTGCATGTAAACATGAAGCAGATACCCAGAAGTACTTACTAAATACATCTATTTTTTTCTGTGCAAGTTTTGTCAGTAGAGCAGAGGTATTCAGTAGGTTGTCCTGATTCTTAAAGGAGATTTTGCTGTATTAATATATTGTCCTGGTTTAATAGAAAACTCTTAAAACAGGCATGAAAGCAATTATCTTAAGTAGTCTCCTTTTCCCCAAAAACAACTGAGAGAGGAAATTCAAGACAAACACCTTGCATTTTAATAAGCATTGTGTCTTTGGTATCAAGCCTTCAGACAGGACTGCAAGTGAAGCTTTGATTCTTGCTTAATGTTCCTTCTCTCGTGCCACTATTTTAATAATACCCTTTGATGCTTTGTTATTTAAATCTCAGGGAAAAATAAGCAATTTAATTGCAGCATATTGCTGTCAATTAGTATTAATGTCAGTTTGGCCCCTGGTCTTACTCCCTGGTTATGTACAGATATTGTCTTCAGGCACAGCAGGTCCTGCTACTAAGGCACCAATGGATGATGCACAAACCTGCTTAAAAAAAATAACCTAATCCAAATGGAGTAGTGCCACTCTTCACATTCCTTGTGCCAGCTCCAGCATTAAGTTAGTTCAACTACAAAATTAGTCACTTCTTCCTTAACAAGGTAGCTTTCTCATGCTTTAGCAAGACAAATGACCCCACAAAGTGACCAACAGGTAGGCACAAGGAAAGCTGGGGGGCACTAATGAGCTATTAGATTGACTCAGCTGTTCCACAGAACCACACTTCACCTGAGCCAGTTAGGGGGCTCTACGCACCTGAGAGCTGTTGCCAGCACAGCTACAGCCAATATAAGGTTGTAGTCAAGCAGCTCACCTGTTTTCAGATTTGAGATTCTTAAAAGCAGTATTTTTGTTAGTACCTAGCGAGCAGAACAAAGTTACTCATATCTAAGCAATGTGCCAGATTTGCAAACTGCTGTTCTGCTTCCTCTGCTGTTACTTGGATAAGCACAGGTTGCAACTGCAAGTGGGGTCATTACACCAAAAACCTGAGAACAAGTTATACTGGGTCTTGTGACCATCACTGATCTAAAATATTTATGAAATTTTCATGAGATGGACAACATTCCCTTAAATAGCATTAATTCTTTCTTTATTCCTTAACATGGACAAATTGCCATGCACAGAGAAGACCAAACTTGTTAATTCCCCTTTCTACTTAAGAGTTTTAACTTGCAAACAGACTAAGAATGCTTAGATCGTGAGACCACATTTACAACAAAACATATTTCAAAACTGAACACATGAGGAACTAAGTCTAGATGCCAGCCTGACAAACCAGGAGAATCTATATCCCCTTTTCGTATGGACCCAAAGCCAACTCAGGCTTGAATACGCCTGTATAACGCAGCCTTGCATACACCCCTCAGTCTCCTTTTGCATTTGTGATTCCAGTGCAAACTGTTTTTCTCCCCTCTCCCAAACATCTGTGTTAAGCAAGCACTTAGAAGGCCTCCCTAAGTGATTCTTCTAAACCCTTCTACCATCCTCATCACTGTAATTCCTGAAAAGCTTATCTTAACATGTCCACATACGCAAGAAGGGTGAAGAAAAGGTCATACAAAGTTAACTAGAAGCAAGATGAGAACATTTCATATAGAACCAGTGAGTGACCGACAGTTACTCCCTCCTCTCCTCTATTTGTTTGACCTTCACTGCCCATGTCATATCTAATGGAAGCTAAGTTCTTAGTGCAGGTGTTACTGTTTACAGTGACAGTCACTTCTACACACAAAAAACACAGGATTTTACAATAGGAAGTTAAAGCAAATCACCCCCTTCATAGGGGGACCTACTGTCTCAAACATATAGACAACCCCCCAAAAAAAAATATGTTAAAACCCACTGAATCTTCACTTCCTGGACAGGTCAGGACTGGGCAGCAGAAAACACCACACTTTAAGAAGCTGACACTGAGTGGAATAGCAAAAGATGCAAGTTCTGTAGTGTTTGTTGAAAACTCACCCTAACAGCAAGGAAACCTGTTTTTTAAACCACCTGCTGACAAAAGTGGGCTAAGCCACACAGTATTTACCAGAAATAGGAAAACAAAATGTAGGCCAGCCATGGTTTTTAAAAGCATCCTTAGGGCACATATATACCTACAGTAGGTCCATCAGTAGGAGCTCCATGCTTCTGTAATCACTGCTCTTTTATCCCAATTGCTTTTCCATCTTTTTTGATTCCTTCATAGCTGCATATTGGACCAGAAACTTACACACCATCACCTTTGTCATTAAAAAGTTTGCACTGGAATAAGTGCCAAAGTTTATTGCTAAAGCCCAGCATTACAGAGAAGGGAGATGGGATAAAAGATTACTTCTAACCTTCACAGACAGAACTCAAAGAACTTTTGTTCATATTTTAACTCCAGCCTCCTAAAGCATCTTTTTCAGTTTCTTCTTTAAAATCTACATCCTCTCAGTTGTTAAGACCTCTGAATTTGTACCTGGTAGTTCCAAGATACACAGCATCTTAAAAGTTCTTCTTTGGCATTAGCACTTTTATGTCAGAAGCTTATAACAGCAGTAGTAGTAAAGTCAACAGCAGAGCCTACGTTATTACAAAAAAAAATGGAGCTTGAGCTGAATGACATGCCAATGGTTATCTTTTCCCAGTATTTTTCCCACTTTGTTACTTTTTCTTCCCCCTTTATCATCAGGGTTAGTTGCATAGTAAGAACACACAGCATTCTGAACACATTGACAGGAATAGCTACTGACATATCACCAAATGCATTCGGTTCATGTAGAGGAAATCTTAAGAATTACAATTTCAGTGGACAAGTTACTAAGACAAACATTATTCACGAGTCTTATCATTGGATACAAAAAGCATCTCACAAACATTACTTAGTACCCTTTACATTAATACTTTCTACTTATCTGTTACACACTATTTTGTATTAACAGGTGAAACCACAGGCCAGTAATCAATACTAAGTAGTCACAGTCTGACTGCTGTAACACCCAGTCACTCCTTCCACTTCTGATGCCAACCTCTTTTATGAAAAGGTCGTATAGAGTAAAAACTTGAGAAGCAAGGGTCTGGTTTTTGTTAATGAGCTAAGAATGCCTTCAGACGAGCCTTGCTGTTGCCATACCTGCTGACAGCTGCAGCCAACCCCACAGCACGCCCGTCCCCCCCCTTCCCGGGCCTGTCATTTTAGCTCTTGCATGTATTACTTATATGCAAACACTAATACAAAAGGAATGCAATTACTTCATATACCTGCCCACCTCCAGCGCCTGTGAAGGTGTGGATTCCTTCATCAAGTGCTTTTTACCTTCTGCGAAATGACTGGACTGCATGTCTGATACAGCTATACTTGGTAAAGGGTCTAATTGCTATTATTATATTATTTGTGTTGAACTCTTGCCATGTTATTTGGTACAAATTACATGTTAGTGC